CCCCCCTCGCTTTAGTAACACTTCCCTGTCCGATCGCCCAGAGCCAATGTTTACTCGCCCTAGGCGAGCTGATGTTCACCCACTTGGCTATAGGTAACCCCACTCAGTGTGGAGGAGGACACACATGTGCCCAACCTTCTGGGCAGTGAGTTTTTGACCAGTTTCGGCAACTTCCTCCTTTGCAGGGAGTCCAGTCTCCGCGGCACTGAAGTTCTTCCCATCATCCGAGCATTGCTGGTACACCTTCTGCCTCGCGTGCCTCCTCTCGTGCGTACTGCAGTGGGATCGCTGGCTGAAGCATTTCCCGCAATCCAGGCATTTGAATGGCTTCTCTCCCGTGTGGGTCCTCCGATGGCGGATGAGGTCCGAACGGTGGCGGAAGGTCTTCCCACAGTCCGAACAGTTGTATGGCCGCTCCTTCGCGTGCATCCGCTGGTGCCTGGCGAGGAGCGAGGGATCGCTGAACTTGCGCCCACAGTCCAGGCACCGGTATGGCTTGTCGCTGGCCGTGTGGGTCCTCTTGTGCACCACCAGGTTCGAGCTGTCGCTGAAGCCCTTGCCACAGTACAAGCACTTGTATGGCTTCTCCCCCGTGTGGGTCCTCCGGTGGCGGACGAGGTAGGAGTTCTGGCAAAAGCTTTTCCCGCAGTCCAAGCACTGGTACGGCTTCTGGTCGGCGTGGATCCGGCGGTGTGCGATGAGGTTGGAGCGGTCGCTGAAGCTCCTCCCGCAGTGGAGGCACTGGAAGGGCTTCTCCCCCGTGTGGGTCCTCCGGTGTTTGAGCAAGTCAGAGCTCCGGCCAAACGCTTTCCCGCACTCCGTGCACACCTTTTTCCGGCGGTCCTTATGAACTCGCGACTGGGCCTCGTCACGTTTCCGGCCATCCCCCTGGCAAGGGATTTTTTTACAGTCTCCCTCCCCCACCGGGCCGTCTTGCCGATTCTCCAATTTGTGTTGACTGTCGAAAGACTCTAGCTGCTCTGGGGACAGGAACGCCCCCTCTGCAAATGTCCCGGAAGGTTCTGCTTTCTCAGAATTTTTGGGTGGAGGAGGCTTCTCCTCCTCATTCTCACTTGCCCATCTATCGCCTGCTGGAATTTAAGCACAGAGAGAAAGAAACGATAGTCAAGCCCAGGTCTAGTGAGAAATAATTTAAGCTGAAGTAC